AATCGCCCCCTGAAGGGCGGCTCAGTCGCGGAAGAAGCTGAAGTGGGACACCATCTGTGAGACCACCTCAGACCTGCATCTCCTGGGCTGGTCGCAGGACTCCCAACGAGGGAGGCCGTGAGAACCGCGTCTCAGTCTCACTGCCGGTGGTGCCAGCGTGCTGTAGCCGTTACTGTTCCTGCAGACATAATGGTTGCCTCGAGTTCACTGATCATTATTTTTCTCTCAGATATGTTCCAGGGGAGCCCCCCCACTACTTGTCTGGCCCCGCAGAGCTCATTGCCGGGTCAGGGTACTGTAAGCCTCCCGAGCACCTCTGTTAGATCCCTTTAGCAAGCTGACATTGCAGTTTCATTTCATGTCATCAGACAAATTTACCCATGCATGCATCTCTTCCAGTTTCCTTGCCTACACATCTAATTCAGATACAAAGTGGGAGGACCTCTTGGAAACCAAGAAAAGTGAGAAGCCCTGTAGCCATAACAGTTCTGTGTGGGTGTATGTCCACAGCACAACTCATGGAGTCCCTTGGAATGTGCCAAGACTGCTGCCAGGGAGTGGCAGTTTGTGCCTATTTCCATAAAGCATTTCAATTTTAGTCCTCCTGTCTCCTTCCAAGGTCTGGGCTGGACTTTTCCTCACCCTGTCCTCTCAAGCTTCTGCTTACACCACCAGAAAAAGCTGGTGAGGCAGGGAAGGGGAAGCTGGAGCTATCAGCCTTTCGGCAGGACGCTGCTGATCAGTGCCCGCCAACCCCAGTGATGCCTGTGTGGGGCGTACTGCCAGAGATGTTCTGCTTTAGGTTCCCTTGCCTTGAATATTTGAACATTATTAGCTAAAGGTAACAGAAAACAAAAGCCCACTCTTGCTAATTTTCTTGCCTCTCCTCAAAACTGGTCGTTCATCACAACGGATGCGTGGCTGATCCTACTAGACATACCTTGTCATCAAGCTGGTTTGCATTGGCTGGTCACGTGGCTGCATAGACACTGTAGGAGGATTTAGATACCTGGGAAGGCAGCAGCTGCACAGAAAGATTTAGGTGTGATTTTGATCGTTCTCAGGAACACAGGAAGCAACTAGAGGCTGCAGAATGTCTGCAACATGTAGCTGATGCTTTCAGATGCCTGCACAGTAGTAGTGTGTGGACAGGCAGAAGGTCAACAGCACACAGTGACAGACAATGCCAGTGCTGAGAAGTGACTGCCGAAGACTGGGATCAACTCTGAACCCTTGTTCAGAGGAGTTAGATGACGAAATCCAGCTGGGAGAACTGTAGTGATCAACTCCAAACAGTGACAGGGAAGAAAAGGAAGCAACAGGCAATTACCACAACAATACTACCTTCGCCTCTAAGCCTAAGTATTTCAAGTTTCCATAGGAACTGGCGTTTCCTTCATTATCCCACTTTCCTTTTGTGTGTGTTAAGCCAAATTTCTGAAATAGCCACAAAATTAATTTTTGAGTATGTTTTACCTAATGGGTGAGACAAATGGTCTTCTCAGAGCACATTTAATACATGTTCCATAGGTTTACACCAACCGACATCTCAAACTCAAAACCTGACACATTTATTTACTCTTCTGAAATGACAGATTCGAGTTAATCCTTTCATTTTTAAGGGCCATTTATTAAATGCAGTTAACATGACAAATATAGGCTCCCCATATTTGTAAAACTGTCTCCTAAGTCCATATCTATAGTTTAGCTTCATATTCGCTAGGGTATAAACACAATTAGAGTAAGGCATACAAAGGGCTTCCAGCAACTTCTTGTATCTTGTTGCACCTGAGACATCATCATGCCCATCATCTAATAAGGCATTTTTCCCTAGGATAAGAAAAGCAAATTTAAGCTAACAGTAAAGTCTCTGAGAATACCCTGACATCTGAAACAATGAGAATTTGCTTCAACGACTTCTCTCTCAGTAGAGCTAGACAGAACTTTTTAATTTACTGCAGATATAAAATCTGATTTTTATATGAAGTATGTGCATTCAGTCTGGTCCAAAACACTTGTATGGCACATACAAACTTATATTTAACTTTTGTCTTTATTTCAACAAAAGTAAAATTAATTCCACCTTTTATCAGAAAAGTGTGAGCTAATCAATGCAGAAGCCATTTCCACAATTATTCAGTTTGTCCTTCACTAACCTGTATGAACAGACTGTCTCGGGCTAATCACATCAGAACAACCATGAGGAATATTTTTGAAGTATTTCAGCACTTCTAGTTCACCTGGATTCACATTAATGGAAAACCCTCCATGGAGTGGAGGACAAACCCCCTCAGAATGGAAGTTTGGTTCTGATGCACTGTCTGAGCAACTGGACACTTCCATATAAACAAAATATTTAGGCAAAGGACAACAGAAATGGAGGAACTGAGGTGTGGAAAAGCTGTTAACCATTCCACTCACAGGCAAAAGGGAGAAGAACAGAGACTTAGCAACTTTCTCTAATATGTGGGTCCTGTTCTGATTCTCTGTAACATCCTTCCACACCCCCAGCAGCACAGTGGAGGAGGAGCCTAATGCTATTATAATACTACTAAATACCGAGTGCTCATTTTCAAGGAAGCCATGGTCCACTTCCTCAGCTGTAATTCATCCTTCTTCCCACACTTCAGAGAAAGGTGGTTTTATTAAGTAGCATTTTCAATTATGACAGACACAAATCCAGGAGAAAGGCCTGTACTTGCATTCAGTTTTTTAACACACAAAACAGTGACTGGCAAGTATAAATACTATTATATAAGAAAACAAGTCACGCAAACCCTCTTCACTGTGAGGAGGGTTGAGACTGGGAGGGTTCACAGAACACTGAGAATGGGAAAAGGATCAAAAGCATACACAAACTGAAGAAAAAGGTGCTTTGAAGCTTTGTTTTCCTCCCTTTACAAGTCTATACTATGATATGGAGATAAAAGCCAGTGTGTGTGTGGGGGGGGGAAGGTCTTCACTCAGTATTTTTTCTAAATTAAATTCCACAGTTTTGTTTTTGTTTTAAAGAGTCATTTATAATTTAATACCTGTTTCAGGATTCTCAGATCTGTGGTGCTGTTAACACTGCACTTAATTGGCATTATCCATTTTAAAAAAGAAATTAAAAAGCAGCTCTGAACTCTGCTTCTGAGATGGAAGCACTGTCTCTGAACCAACAACGATTCCTGTCACTCTTGCTTTGCATCTTTCAAGGCCTGAAGTCTTTCTAAAAGAGGCGGATGGGAGTAATGCCACATTGAAAAGATCCAGTCAGAAACAGGGAATCCTAAATTATCTTTGTTTAGCTTGATCAAAGCAGAATATAGGTCTTTAGCCTTCCCAAGTTCCTTGGCAAATGCATCTGCTTGAAACTCAAATCGTCGGCTTAATACAGTCAAACAAAATGAGAGAACCTGTGGAGAGAAATACATTAAAAATTATTTTAAAATTCAGCTATCTGCAAGTTCCTTACAGTATCAGTAAATACTACTGTATCTTTCTTCCCACATCCCACACATCACTCTGGCTGTAGAACGATCTCACTAAGGTTTATCCAGGCCACACTTAGAATCATAGAATCTTTAAGGTTGGAGAAGACCTCTAAGATAATCAAGTCCAACCGTCGACCCAACACCACCATGTCTACTAAACCATGCCCCGATGTGCCGTGTCTACACGTTTTTTGAACACCTCCATGGTGACTCCACCACCTCTCTGGGCAGTCTATTCCAATGCTTGACCATCCTTTTGATGAAGAAATTTCTCCGAATCTCCAATCTAAACCTCCCCTGGCACAACTTGAGACCATTTCCTCTTGTCCTTTCGCTAGTTACTTGGGAGAAGAGACCATCACTCACCTCAGTACAACCTCCTTTGAGGTAGTTGTAGAGAGCAATAAGGTCTTCCCTCAGCCTCCTTTTCTCCAGACTAAACAACCCCAGTTCCCTCAGCCGCTCCTCATAAGACTTGTGCTCCAGTCCCTTGACCAGCTTCATTGCCCTTCTCTGGACATACTCCAGCACCTCAATGTCCAGCACCTCAATGTCCTTCTTGTAGTGAGGGGCCCAAAAGTGAACACAGCACTTGAGGTACAGCCTCACCAGAGCTGAGCACAGGGGCACAATCACACCCCTACTCCTGCTGGCCACACTATTCCTGATACAAGCCAGGATGCTGTTTGCCTTCTTGGCCACCTGGGCACACTGCAACACAGGGAGTCCTACCCAACAGAGCACTAAGCCTATTTATTAAAATGAGATACCAGACAAGAGCCCCTAGAAACTTCAAACTTTCCCCCCTAGTCAAAATAAAAATCATTATTATAATAGGAAAATACTTCAGCATCTATGTCTTGAAAACAATTTACCTCATTGTAAGGTGAAAAAATGAACTGGAAAATAATCATCAAGCCTATCAGCGTAGGCTGGGTGTCATAGAAACCAAATGCAGCAAAGAGTTCTTTTCGACCAATTAACACAGCAAACAAGAAGAAGCAGAGGAAGGAATTCATCTAGAGAAAGGAAACAACACTCTTGATTAAGACGAGTTTTTCATCTATGTCTAAAACATGGCCTATTCATATAACAGATTTGCAAAAAAAATGCCACTGAAAAAAACCCAAAATAGCTGGCCTTTACATGCTTTCTGTAAATGCATACAGTAAAGAAACACTTATTATCTGTCAGTGAGCTAAAAAAAGTCTTAGTGAAGGAAGATGAAAATGCAAGAAGGCAAGATAAATGAGGACGGAGTACAGGGTAGAATCCACCTCCTTGGAATTAAGCGTAAGTTTCAAAAAGTTTAAAACCAAACAAAATGTGTCTGTGCTATGTCATACTTCTATTCCTGGAAACAGTCTACGCTTCCACTGTGCTTGCCTGGCTTTTCAGAGGCAAGAGGCAGGACCATGCCTTACCAAGTTTTCCAGAGAAGGCGATTAATACCTTTTCAATCCATTCAAGTGGCTGTTTAGTCTTTTTAGATTAATGTGGAAGGTCCCAGAACATTGTTTGTTATTGAAACACACAGGACAGAAAAAAAGAGGGATGGCTGTGACAACAAACAATCAACAGAAAAAGTAGAAGACATTGCAGAAGAATTTGTGTTCTGGAAGTGAAGATAAAATCTACCTATTGCAGCAAAATAATAGTATCTAAAAAGCGGATCCAAAGACAAAAGTTACATGAGTTAGCAGAGTGGCAAAAGAATCGTAATAGTTGCTAGTTAGTAGGGATCAACGCTGATGTCAGAAGTTGGAAAGTAATTGCCTTAAAGCAGAAAGCAAGAAGGACCACACTGAAGTTTTCAGTTGCATGGATAAGAAAAAGCCAGTGTGGAAACAGAAAGATAGAGATTTTCTTAAACAGGAGCTTGATAGTGGTGGTTACAGCCTGAAAAGCTTGTGAATAGCCTTAGAAAAAGAACAGAACGGCAT